CCCCTCACTCAGCTCCTGTGCCTAGCACTTAGTAGGTGTCAAATAAATAACGTTGAATGCCTAAAGCATTTTCTGGGGCTGACCCAGAAGTAGGGGATAGTAGGAGAAATTCTCAGGGGTCACAAGCCAAGGATCATGATGAGGACCTTGTAGCATCAACATGTCTGCAAGTCTTGGCCCCCTTCTCTTTATGGCATTTTGTATCACAGAAATGGGGTCAACGCTTTTCCTTGTTCGGGATTTTCATCTTGTGTTGTGAAAATTTTTATTCAGACCCCAAATAAATAGCAACAGGACTTTGAAATGGAAATTGACTTGACTAATTGGATGAAATCAATTCATGGTGACCCCCGAGGACCCAACGTCCTGAGTCGTGTGTGTGAGCTGCAGGGGAATTTGTGTGAGCTGATGGGGATTGTTTATTTGTCTAGCTAAATTTGATTTTGTTTGGGCATAAAGGAGGAAGGATGTGGAAGGTGAGGGCCAGGCAGGGCAGAGGGAGGAAATGGGGAACACAATAGGGCTGGACATCCAAAACTCTCCAGTCAGCCTGGGAAAAGAGGGGGGCTGTGGCCTGGGTGTGCCCCGTGGCAAGGGAGACATTTAAGAATTTCTCACCAGGACTGTGGCACTTGTGATGGAAACCCCAGTCATTTCTGAGTCCCCTTGGAGGGTATCAGAGCCCCCTTCCTGAAAAAGGAAAAAATACTCCTCCCACAGCTGTTGCGTCCAACGTTCCAGCCTTCTAGAATAAGAAGCCATGCTTTTATGAACTAAATTGAAACCTAGTCACTAGAGTGCCGCTGATCATGATGATGGTGATGATGGCGATAACGGCGGCAATGGTGGGACTGCAGCTGGAGGGGCTCAACAGCGGGGATCCTCCTCTGCTGGGCCCTGTTTTTTTTAATAGGCATCTCATCGTTCATTGAGGTTTGCAATATTGCTATGGTGTGTGTTCACCTGCCTTCCCCAACACCTTGCACATTTGTATTTACAAAGCTCATATTGACATATTTTTCCCTTTGTGCCATAAAACTTGAACTCCCATTTTATGGATTAGAAAGCTGAGGTCAGAGAGGTTGAACAACTGGCACAGGCCCCACAGCTGATTGATAGTGGACTAGTTGCTAAACTGGAGAATTCAAGTTCCAGAATTAACCCCTTAGTTGTGTTGAGAGGCAGATAAGAACATGTTTTCAATTGAAGGAGAAAAAAAAAAAAAAACCAAGCCTACTTAGCTGCTCAGCAGCACAAAACGTTGTAAGGGTACACAAAGAGATGTACAGCGGGTGATCATCTGGCTGAGCCTCAAATGTTCCTAAACGCTCTCATACCTAGTCCCAGGTGTACTCTGCAGCCTCAAGAGAAGCTGTTTAACATGCAACTTTAAGCTGTTGTCCCATTACCAGACCTCACTCCCTCTAGTGAATTAATTTCTTTAATAAATATTGTGATTACCTTGTGAGCGGACAATTATATTGTAGGACATTGCCATCTGTGGAGTGACGTTTAAAACATGATGAAGCCTTTAGGCCGTCAAACATACAGGCAACCTTCAAATCATCACTGAGTTTAGTGTTCTGTTTTGTAAATGTTCTTATTTCACTGTAGAAAAATTGTGAAAATATTTTATCTTAAGCTCTTTACGTGCAAAAAAAAAAATTCCTTTGTGGGGTGTACATGTATGTGTATTATAAACAATTTAATCTCTTTATTACCAACATTTCAAATCTGCTATCAAATCCTATTTGGGAGCATTTCTTCTTTTTTTTTTTTAAAGATTTATTTATTTATACAAGAGCTGGGGTACAGGTCAGAAGCGTGGGAGGATGAGAGGATTCACTAGAGACAGAGTGGGGAGCAGAACAGGCAGATGGACCAAAAGCACTGCTGAGGGGAGCAGTGGGTGAGACAGGAGAGGTCTGCTGCTGGGTATCTCCTTGGCTGGCTGGGAATCGAACCCACGCTGCAGAGGCTGCAGACAGCTTCACAGCGCTGCGCTCAATCCGCTGCGCCACCGGGGAGGCCCGGAGCATTTCTTCATTTTAGAGCATTCAGAGAGTCTCAAAAAAATCAGTAACTTGGATTTTCTCAACTTGACACACGCTGGCCTGAATCTTCAAGGACTTCCCAGTTTGGCTGGGGAAGGAAAGGGGAATATGTGAAAAATTAAAAAAATGCCTCAAAAATTAAAGAATAATTCCAATGATATATCACCATACCAGCATATACTTTGAATGTCTATGATCATATAGACCAGAGATAGCAAGTACTAACAAGGATGCGGAGAAAAGGGAAGCCTGCTGTTGTATTTGTATAAATTGGTGCAGCCATTTTGGAAAAATAGTACGGAGGTTCCTCAAATCATTAAGAAGAGAAGTTCCGTATGACTCAGCAATTACCTATGAGTGTTCTCCAAAAGGAGATTAAATCACTAACCCAAAGAGCTATCTGCACCCATTGCAGCACTACTTATAATAGCTGAGACATGGAAGCAACATAAATGTCCATTAATGGGTGAATGGCTTTTTTAGAAGTGGAGAGAGAGAGAGAGAGAGAGAGAGAGAGAGAGAGAGAGAGAGAGAGAGAGAGAGAGAGAGAGAGGAATGCTATTCAACCATAAAAAAAGAAGGAAATTCTGCCATTTGGGGTCATTTTACTAAGTGAAATAAGTCAGTGAAAGACAAATATTGTAAGATCGTACTTATATGTGGAATAAAAAAATTAAGGAATAATTCCACTCCTATGTATTTACCCAAGAGAAAGGAAAGCATATTTTCACACAAAGACCTGTACATAAAAATTCATGGATTTTCACATGAAGAAAGACCTGTGCCGTACACAAAAGTATATGGCAAATTTATTCTTAATCAACAAAGACTAGGGCGGGGGTGGGGTGGGGTGGGTCAGGAATGGCTACTTGACCCAAGTGATGGAACTACTCCCTGTGAGAGGGATTGTCCTTGACCCTTCCCTCCTGGGAGTTCACAGTCCTTCTCCCTCCTTGATTTGGAGCAAGTGAGGAATTTCGTTATCAACCCCTTAATCTCAGAATGCCATTTGGGAGCGAGTTATGGACTAAACATTTGGCACCCACCCCCCAAAAGTCACAAGCTGCAGCCCTAGCCCCACGGTATAGTATTAGGAGGCCCAGGGCCCTTAGAAGGTCATGTTTCAATATGGTCATGAGGGGGGATCTTTGAGGAAGGAGGTCCAGGAATCCCCCAGGAAGACCAGAGTCCTGAATGAGATTTTAAGAAGGTCCAAGAGGTAGCTAAGCAAAGGGGGTGTGAACAGTGTTCCAAGCAGAGGGAAAGCACATGCAAAAGTGAGGGAGGTGTAAGAGAACACTTGAACCTTCCTGGGCATGCCAACATCCTTTATCTTTCCCATAATTCTCAGTAACTCAGGGGCAGGCAGCAGGAGAAAATGGAGGGGTTGGGGAGGGTTGAGGTAAAGGTCTCAGGGTATGGGGCTCAGGTTTCATCATCATCATGGGTGTCAACTTGCAGCTTGCATCCAGCACAGGTTTAATGCTCTGCTATCTCCACAGGGACAATTCTTGATCTTTTTTTGAACAAGGGAGGGGTTGCACATTTTCCTTTTGTACTGGGTTCAAAAGCTGACCCTGCCTTTTACTTACACTATTTCCTTGGGCTGATAATTGTGTAGGGATAAATGGTTTTCGGGCTTTTCTGCCCTCCTGCCATTAGGATTGCCCTGCCTGATGGGGCACCTGCATTTGTGATATTTTTATAAGTTGTGTTGTTTACTTCTGTGGGCCATGACTCAGTATTGAGATAGTCACCAAGAGAAGCAGAAGCAGGAGAAGAACAGGAGAGAGAAGAGGAGAAAGACGAGCAAAAGCAGCCCAGAGTGAAGACTTGCTGGGGGCTTGGAGGCCACGCCCCAATGATATTGGAAAAGTTACCAGGTCCGATGCCAAGGGCTTATGCAAATGAATCTTTATTTTGCATTGAAGGTATTGAAGTTGAAGGAAATTAATATTTAATAAAATATTTTGGTGTTAAGTAGAGAAAAGCAAATGTTTTCAGTTCTATTCACAAAAAGATGTAATTTACCATAAGAATTGTTTAAAAAGGGGAAAAGGTTTCTTTTTTTTTTTTTTTTAAAGATTTATTTATTTATTATTTATACAAGCACTGGGTACAGTCAGAAGTGTGGGAGGGTGAGAGAATTCACCAGAGCCAGAGCGGGGAGCAGAGCAGGCAGAAGGACCGAAGTACACTGCTGAGGGGAGCAGCGGGCGGCAGGAGAGGTCTGCGCACCATGTGGGACCCTCCTCCGGTGGCCGGGGAAGCAGCCGGGATCAAACAGGCGCTGCAGAGGCTGCGGGCAGCTTCGCAACCCAGCGCTCAACCGCTGCGCCACCGGGGAGGCCTGGGAAAAGGTTTCTTAATGTTTTTGCTTTATTTGCTGCTTTTTGCTTTTTGTTGTTTTTTGCTTTATTTCAAATAGTCCCTTTCCATGTAGAAATCTCAAAATTATATTAGTAAATATTATGAGCAGTTTTTTACATAAGCTCTGCAATTTTTTACCCTCGGTTCCATGATAAATCTATATTTCTAGAGTCCAGAAAGTTAATTTTTTAGCATTTAGTGTATTAGAGTGAGTAAATAAACATATGCCTGAGTGAACGAATGCAGAAGTAACGGATGAATAAGGTGTGAACAAGCTCTGGAGAGTGACCTTACTCCCTGCTCCCCTACAGACCTCAACTCTGCCCGGCTTTCCACCTCTCCCCAGCGCCCCCTGCCAGTTAACCGATCAGACTAACTGATCAGACCGGAATCAGACCCCACCGCTCTCTCTTTCAGTCTTCGTACTCGGTCCTGAAGACTCCTCCCCAGCTGGGGCGGAGTCACTCGCGATGCCTTTTTGGCAATGTAGTCTTGCTCGCGAGGCACTGACCCAAACACAGGAAAAACGTACGCAAACTTCCTGGAGTCCCACAAACCATCGCGGTGACATTGCATGACGGGAAGTGTAGTCCGGAAGTGGCCCTTATCCAACAGAATCACCTAGGATTGGGACGATTCCCACAATGCACCGTGCTCCCGGTTCACCACGACTGCCCCGCGCTCTTCTGGGATGTGGAGTCTCGAAACTTTCTCTATCCTAAGACCTATGGAGTGGGCCGGCCCAGAGGACTACATTTCCCTGCGCAACCCCATTCCCCAACAGCACCAGGCCCCGGCCGCCATTTTGTTCCGCCCGAAGAACCCCTAAGATGGCGGCGGGGGAGACGGTGAAGGTTGCAGTCGCCGCCTCCAGGCTTTAGTCCGCCGTTTCCCCGTCCCCCGGCGCCCGGCCCATGGCCTGGCGGAGACCCGGACCATGGACCTCCGCACCGCCGTGTACAACGCCGCTCGCGACGGCAAGCTGCAGCTGCTGCAGAAGCTGCTCAGCGGCCGGAGCCGGGAGGAGCTGGACGAGCTGACGGGTGAGGTGCCCGGCGGGGGGACGCCGCTGCTGATCGCCGCCCGCTACGGCCACCTGGACGTGGTCGAGTACCTGGTGGACCGGTGCGGCGCGAGCGTGGAGGCGGGCGGGTCGGTCCACTTCGATGGCGAGACCATCGAGGGCGCGCCGCCCCTGTGGGCCGCCTCGGCAGCCGGCCACCTGGACGTGGTGCGGAGCCTGCTGCGCCGCGGGGCCTCAGTGAACCGCACCACGCGCACCAACTCCACGCCCCTGCGCGCCGCCTGCTTCGACGGGCACCTGGAGGTGGTGCGCTACCTGGTGGGTGAGCACCAGGCCGACCTGGAGGTGGCCAACCGGCACGGGCACACGTGCCTCATGATCTCCTGCTATAAGGGCCACCGCGAGATCGCCCGCTACCTGCTGGAGCAGGGCGCGCAGGTGAACCGGCGCAGCGCCAAAGGCAACACAGCCCTGCACGACTGCGCCGAGTCCGGCAGCCTGGAGATCCTGCAGCTGCTGCTCGGGTGCAATGCCCGCATGGAACGCGACGGCTACGGCATGACCCCGCTGCTGGCGGCCAGCGTGACGGGCCACACCAACATCGTGGAGTACCTCATCCAGGAGCAGCCTGCTGGGGAGGAAGCGCGGCCGGGGCTGTCCCTCGAAGGACCCTCCACCGGCCCGGTGTGTGCGCAACCCCAGGGCGCCCACTGCTGCAGCTCCTTCCCAGAGGAACCACTCAGTGGTGAAACTTACGAAAGTTGTTGCCCCACCAGCCGGGAAGCTGCGGTGGAAGCCTTGGAATTGTTGGGAGCCACCTACGTGGATAAGAAGCGGGACCTGCTTGGGGCCCTGAAACATTGGAGGCGGGCTATGGAGCTGCGTCACCAGGGGGGTGCCTATCTGCCCAAACCAGAGCCCCCACAGCTGGTCCTGGCCTATGACTATTCCAGGGAGGTGAACACAGCAGAGGAATTGGAAGCTCTTATAACCGACCCGGATGAGATGCGCATGCAGGCGCTGTTGATCCGAGAGCGCATTCTGGGTCCTTCTCATCCAGACACTTCTTATTATATCCGTTACAGGGGTGCAGTGTACGCTGACTCTGGCAATTTTGAGCGCTGCATCCGTTTGTGGAAGTATGCCCTGGACATGCAGCAGAACAACCTGGAGCCGCTGAGCCCCATGACAGCCAGTAGCTTCCTCTCCTTTGCCGAACTCTTCTCTTATGTGCTCCAGGACCGGGCGGCCAAGGGCAACTTGGGCACCCAGATCGGCTTTGCAGACCTCATGGGGGTGCTCTGCAAAGGGGTCCGGGAAGTGGAACGGGCCCTGCAGCTACCCAAAGAGCCTGGGGACTCCACGCAGTTCACCAAGGCTCTGGCCATCATTCTCCACCTGCTCTACCTGTTGGAGAAAGTGGAGTGCACACCGGAGCAGGAGCACTTGAAGCACCAGACCGTCTACCGGCTGCTGAAGTGTGCCCCCCGCGGCAAGAACGGCTTCACCCCTTTGCACATGGCTGTGGACAAGGAGACCACAAATGTGGGCCGATACCCAGTGGGCAGGTTTCCCTCCCTCCAGGTGGTCAAGGTGCTGCTCGACTGCGGGGCTGACCCAGACAGCCGGGACTTTGACAACAACACCCCATTGCACGTGGCAGCCCAGAACAACTGCCCGGGAATCATGAACGCCCTCATCGAGGCTGGAGCCCACATGGATGCCACCAATGCCTTCAAGAAAACAGCCTATGAGCTGCTGGATGAGAAGCTGCTCGCCAAGAGCACCATTCAGCCCTTCAATTATCTCACCCTGCAGTGCCTTGCAGCCCGCGCCCTTGACAAGAACAAGATCCCCTACAAAGGTTTCATCCCGGAAGAGCTGGAGGCTTTCATCGAGCTGCACTGACAGGGTTCCCAGGTGGGAGAAAGCAGAGGGTGTGGCCAACACCCTCACCTCTTGTTGAGCACTTCCGATGGCACTAAATGGGAGAAGGGCTGTTTTGCCTCCAGAGCAGCTGTTGGTGCTAGGAGCCATCAGGATCACGTGATGCCCACACACCCACCCCGACTTGGGAAAAGACACAGCCTTCCGCCCCTCCTGTCTTCTTGGGTTTGGGGGCCTTTGCCTTCTCACCTAGCATGGAGGGATTGAAGCCATTGCCTTCCTACCCTGCAGGAAACAAGGGAAGAAGCTGAGAATTGGGTCTGGCCTCTCTTGGCCCCTCACGTGGCGGGGTAAATCCAACCACAAGATGCAGTGTTAGGACTGGAGACTCCCGAGGTTGGACATTCAAGTCACAAGAAGCAAGACCACCTCTCAGTTCTTCCAGCTCAGTTGCACTCTGATTCCTCCCTCGCTGCCAGTCACTGGCCTCGAGGGTGGGAGTCTTGCCCAGGGCAGTCTGCCACTTGCATAGCTTTCAGTTGATTGGTGTTCTGTTTATTTAACCAGTGGGCAGGTCACGAGCGTTGCACAGGAGTCCTGAAGTTTTGCTGCCATAATTTTTCTTTTCCTTAAATTGTCAGACTTGATCAGTTACTTTCATGCAGTGAGGGTTTTGCTGTGCCTGAGATGGCCAGGGCCATCAAGAATGAGCTTTGTTGTGTGAAAAACTTGGCGAGGGGGCTAAAAAGTTAATGGTGTTGATCCCTAATTCAGGAGTGACTGCATTTCTTAAAATTTCACTCGATTGCCTTTGGCTTGGACCTGCTGACTCTCCACTCTCATTAGAAAGAGAAGTTTTCTCCGAACAGCGCCTAAGGAGCAGGCGTGACGCCAGCGTCTGCTGCGCAGCAGCTAGCATGGTCCCTTGGCGTTTAGTTTTTACAGTTTCTGAGTTAAAGCTGCAGGCCGCTTCAGCCTCTCATACACGCCTGGGCTTCCCCGGTGGCTCCAGCCACTGTAGCTGCTCAAGGACCCAAATCCAGGTCTTCCCGAGAAAAGCCCAAGCAGTCAACAGATGAGCTACGTGAATGTCAAGAACTAGTGGCCGGCTGAGGTGGGACTGAGTCTTGGCTTCCCGGCACCTGGGGTATAAAGTGCCCGAGCTAGACAGCTGGCCTCCCTGAGGCTTCTGACCCTCCGAGCGCCTGGCAGGCAGCAGGAGATTAGTCTTGGCCTCCTTGGAGAGCAGAGACTAGGGAGGGGATGGGCGCAGCTGCCCCCACAGCTCAGGAGAGAAGACGCGTTGGGGGAGCGTTGTGACTCCTCAGCCTTTGGGAACCCAGAGGTCCCTGGACGGGGTCCCCTGCCCCTCCGTGGCAACCAGGTCCAGTTTGGATTTGCAGTGTTAGTTAGGCTGGTATTTATTGGCAAGGCCACATTTTACCTTCCGGCGAGATGGGAAAACACAGTTCCGACCCTCCCAAAGCATGGAATAAAGCAATGAGGCCATTGACGCGCGTCTCGGGGCTGATGTTTAAGTCGTTAAAAAGACGCCGTTGGAAGAGAGCGGCCCGGCGGTCCTTGGGGTAGGTTCTTGCTGGGGCAGGCCGTGTCTCCGTCCCCCAGCCGCCTGCTCTAGCCACAGGAGTTTCTGCTCGTGTGGTGGGGCCTTGTGGAAGGTTGTATTTGGAAAGTGGCATTTTACCGTTTTAAAAATAAAGGTAAAAACCAAGCCCCTGCCTTCTGGTAGGGTTGCCGCAGAAAGGGCCTGTCTCGGCCCTCCTCAAAGGTGAGGAAGGTGAGGGGAAGCAGGCGACCCCTGACTGAGCCTTGCCTCACGTGAGACCCGGTGAGGGAGCCTGGCCCGGCCCTGGCCCCAGCAGCCTGTCCGTGAACTTGGCTTTCCTGGCGCTGGCTCCCCTCCCCGCTTCTGCCATGGCACTCATGGCTGCTGTTCTGGTCTTCTCCAGCCAGCAGAGCCCAGCCCACCTGAAAGCACCTGCCATTAGTTGGTTCCCTGTGTTTCCTGAGCTCCTGCTGTGCCAAGCCTGCTCAGCTCCTGGGGCAGGATGGAGCCAGCTGTTGAGGTCACTTACAGCCCATGTTCTCACCTCCTGTGGTGGTGGGGGCTGGGCCTTGAGGACCCTCCCAGCAGTGCTGGGGCTTGGAAGGTTCCGTTTTCACTGGGGCCCAACAGTTCTGAACAGCCACACCCAAGGCCGCATCCTGAGTATGTCGTCGCCCTGAAGGAGTGGCTCCTGAGCTGGCGCTGCTCTCAGCAGGCGCCCGGGAGGCGCCTGGATGGGCCACCTCGCTGCTCACAGCGGCCCTGTAGGGCAGGCCTTCGTGCTTTGCAGGTGGGGGAACCTGAGGTGATTCAGAGTTGGTACAAAAGACTTGCAATGAGGAAAACTGATCGAGCCCAAATGCTTTCTGAAAACGCAGACCTGAGCATTGTGACTAGCTTGGACTTGCCACTGAAAGCTCTTCAAGCTCAGCTGGTTTCAGGTGAGGCTTCTTCCAGCTGTCAACATACAAGTGACCTGCTTCCTTCGAGGGCCCCGGGGTGACAGGCAGCAGTAGGGAGAGGATCTTCATCCTAGTCAGCCTAAGGCGCGCTCCTGTGGGTCTGCTTGTCGCCCAGGAGTGGGGGTGTAGTTCAGCCTGCGCTGAGTCACCTTGGAGGGGACGGGGAGGCGGCCACCTCCCCAAAACCTGTAACCCAAGGGAAATCGGGATTGGCCCAAAGTGGGGCTATCGATGCTGTGGAGGATGGCACGGGGGCCGCAATAGTGCGGTCATTGCCTGCCGCTCATCAGGGGACGCGCGCACAGGCCCCGTGGCCTGCCCCACGGCCCCTGCCAGATGACCACGGCTGTTGCCACCGCCGAGCAAACTTGCCCGAGCTCACCCAGCCAGGGGGTGTCAGGGTGGCAGCAGAAACCCGAGTTCGAGGTGTCCAAAGGTATGCAACCCGCTCACGGCCACTCCCCTCCCTGCTTCCTGCCCCCACGGAACAAGGCTGCCTGGAGCTGTCTGCTAGGTTGAAGCCGCAGAGCTGGGGCGCTCTGAGGGTCTCGGCCCTCGCTGAGTGACCAGCGTCTTGAGCAAGTAAAGGAGCGGGTGAGTGAGCGAGTGCCTCATGGGGAGTTGGGGCTGCCTCTGCTGGGGGCCGCAGCTGGGGTAACAGAGCAGTCCCTGATGGCTTGGCCACCGGCAACCCGCCGCCCGCACCGGATTCCAGAACTGTCATCTGAGCGGTGTTTACAGGGCCCAAGGTTAAAGATAGCGCAGCTTGGAACCACGTCAGCCCAGAAAGGCGAGATGAGCAGCCCCTTGGACCACTGCACTCGGGGGCCCCACTGCAGCAGGGCGCGGCGCTGTGTCCCTGGGGAAAGGTGGGGTCGGGGTGTGGATTCCTGCGGGCCATTTGGTTAGGACTGGACAAGTGCTCGTCATGCGTGTGCCAGGCGAGACCCTGCAGGGCTAGAATGTCCCCGCCCCTGACCTGGGCACCTGTATTTCCCATAAGTCACAGAAGAGATGCTGACTTGACTGTTGTATGGGACGTTTGCGATCCCCCAGTGCAGCCCGCTTCCTGCCCCGTGTCCTTGACGCCTGTGAAGCAGTGAGGGAGGGATCATGTGTCACCAACCCCCGGATGCCTTCCTGGGTCACCAGGAGCACAGCCCCAGCTGTCTTGAACGTGCCCCTGGGGTCATTGCTTCCCAGCCTTTATCACCCGAACCCCTCTAATTGCCTTTTCCTTGTTTTCTTGTTTATTCATTTTATCCCCTTCCCTGGAACGTCACCTGCACAAGCTTGTTCCTGCTGTGTCCCCAGTGCTTTGAAGAGGACCTGCCGCACAGTAGTGTGTGTGGAGTGAATAAGTGATCTCTCGGGCTGTCAGGAGGCCTGCCTAGCCAGGGCAGTGAGAGAGTGACCCGTGGGGGGCATGGGAGACGGGAGGCAGCTGGCACAGGACCGTTACACCCCGGTGGGCCTTTAGGCCTGCGGGCAGGTGCTACAGAATTTCAAGCTAAGGAAAGAAGTGACCCTATCTAAGCCTCCGGCTTGTGTCAGGGAAGAGATTGGCAGGAGCCTGGGGTAGATGGTGGAGACTGGGGGATTACAGAGGTTTCCAGATGAATGTGGGGGAGTAAGAGCTGGAATAGAATGAAGCTGACAATTGTAGCTCTTCGGGCTGGCAAGACGGATGATTTGGGGCTAGAGAAAGAAACAAGAGGTGTCAACACTGACCTAGGTTTTTGGATGGAGCCAGTGGGGTTTTAACTGACCCAGGTTCAGTCAAAGTCACAGAAAAAGCTAGAAAGTATTTTGAACTGAGCATTCAGTAATGCAATGTGAAAGCGCTCAGTGCCACTGAAGCACTGCACGTGCCCTGAATGTTCACACTGGAGCAGAGGAAAAGGGAAAATCAGTGTGGAGCCTGCAGGCTGCGCCCGTGGGCCAAGCCCTCCTTGCAGAGTGTGCACGGCTCCCGGGGGCTGCTTCCACACGACAGACCGCTTGGCTCCCAAGGTCTGAAATAGTTTCTGTTTAGCTCTTTGCGGACCAGGCGTGCCAACCCCTGCTCTAAAGTTTCACTTTAGGAAGTTAGAAAAATAAGCACAAATTAAACCCAAAGTAAGTGGAAGCAAGGAGAGAATAAAAGTGTGGAAATCAGTGACATAGAAATGGACAATGGGTAAAAATCAAAACTTAAAAAACAAAAATCAAAATTTAAAAGTAATAAAATTGAGTACAGCACATGGGGGATCAGGGCCCCCAACTTGCAGTTAATCTTCTGGTTCAGCCCAGTCTCATTCCAGAAGGATCATGGCGGCTGGGCCGTGTGGGGGGCGGCTGGGACAGAGGCCATGCGGCCTTAGGCACACCACTGCCCCGCCACAGCCTCAGTTTTCTCACCCGTGAGTGGGGTCATGGTACCAGCTGCTGCTAATGAGGCATGAAGGGGTAAATGAGCCCGGAGAGGGGCTGAAGGACCCCAGGGGGAGCCTCAGGGCACACAGGAGATTGGGCAAGACCCTCCCCCCCACCTCACCCCAGCTGTCAGCTCCTGGGGAAGAGAACAATTTTAACTTCCCTTGGAAATTGGAAACCCAGGCAGCCTCCCAGAACTATAAAAAGTCAAGTGTCCACTGAGCAGGTTAAAAATAAAAGATCCCAACCCAGGGGCATTTGGGGCTGGGAGGAGGCACTGCGGCGGGCTGGCATGTGCTGTGTGACCTAAAGCGGGTGTCGGCCCACCTCGGGCTCCCCCGCCAGCAGTGTTAGACCGGAAGGTTTCCAAAGACCCAGTTTATGAGGATATGCAAGGACCCTGCTGCTGCCATCTGCAGAAGCCGTAAGTGGAAAGGAGGGGCTGTCGGTGCCACTTTGGCACTTTCGGGGTCGTATCCCTCTGGACTCCTGGGAGGAACCCCAGCCTCAGCCACCAGCAGGGACAGCCTGGAACTGCTGGCAGATGGCTCCCCCTCGTGGCGATGAGTGCTCACGGCACCTTCCGAATCTCCGCAAATGAAAAGCACGTCCTCTTAGGTGTCTACTCTCCAGAAGACACCCGCCCTGTGTCCAGCTCCGCCACACCTGTCTTCCGGAGGCGCCAAGCTTCCTCCCACCATCGGGGCTTTGCCTGGGGTGTACCCACGGCCTGTCTTACCCTATTCTTTCTCCAGGAGGCCTCCTAGCCCCCACAGTGTGCCGCAGCACGCGGCACACCCAGGACCACCCCAGTTGCAAACACCTAATCCTGTGTCTCTACCTGAGACCCAAGTCCCTGGCCTGCAGTAGGTACTCCATGCATACTGCTCCGTGAACAAATAAACGAATGAAGAAATGAATGGAACATTCACCAGCAGGCAGGAAGCGAATGTGCAGTCAAGAGGCTATTTAAAGAAAAAGACTTGAGCATTAATTCAAACTCATTTTTGGAGCACCTGCTGTGTGCCAGGCACTGGCATCCGCCAGTGAAGTCAACATAAAAAATTCCCGTCCACAGGAAAGGCACACGGCAGTGAGCTTGTCTAAAATGCTAAGTGTTACGGAAAAATAAAGCAGAGTTGGGTGCTGTAATAAATGAATTTTAAATGGGGTGTTTAGGGAAGCCTCCAGTGAGAGCGTGACATTTAAAGAAAGATCTGTAGGAGGGGGCCTCCCCAGTGGTGCAGCGGTTGAACGCTGTGTTGCGAAGCTGCCTGCAGCCTCTGCAGCGCTGGTTCGATCCCCGGCCACCGGTGAGGGTCCCACATGGCGCGCAGACCTCTCCTGCCGCGCCCACTGCTCCCCTCAGCAGTGTGTTTCATCAGTCTGTCCGTTCTATTCCCCGCTCTGGCTCTGGTGAATTCTCTCACCCTCCCGCACTTCTGACTGCACCCAGTGCTTGTATAAATAAATAAATAAATCTTTAAAAAAGTAACAAATTAAAAAAAAAATCTGTAGGCGGTGAGGAGGGAGCGAGGCAGGGATCTGAAGGAAGGGCATTCCAAGCAGAAGACAGCCCATGCAAAGGCCCTGGGGCAGGAACAGGGCGGATTGGAGGAACAGTGGGGCCTGTGTGGTTGGAGCTGAGTGAATGGGAGAGGGAAGGTGAGGACAGGGAGGACGGCCACAGAGCCCTCTGGTGGCTGCTGTGGGGAGAAGAGACCTTGCCTGCCCTCTTCCCTCCAGGAGGCAGGAAACAGAAACTTGGGTGGAGGTGACTGTGCTGGCCCAAGTTAGCAAGGATGGGGGCGCGGAATCAGTAGGGGTACAAGAGCAAGGGGAAATGAGCACATCATGGACATATTTTTGAAAGGAGAATCAGGACTGGCTGACAGATCAGTCCACGGTGATTCCTAAATTCTAGCTGAGCAGGTACAAGGAGTTTCCACCGGAAACATGGGGTGACTGGGAAAGTAAGTTTGGAGGCCAGTTGGGCGGGCACAGTGTGGCATGTTGGATGTGAGACCCCCAAGGCCCTCTGTGTGGAGATGCCAAGGGCAGCTGGACCCAAGTGTGGTGCTCAAGGGAAGACAGGACTGTGGGCATCATCTGAGGTGCAGGCAGGGGTAAGAGCCTAGAGTGTGAGTGCGGGACAGGGGAAGGGAGGCAGAGAGGTGGGAGGCCAGCCAGAGGAGTGTGGGGGTCCCTGAGGAGCTCCCAGGAGGAGGGCAGAGAAGCCGAGTCAGCCACTGCCTAGAGAAGGCGTAGGACTGAGACGTCACCACTGGGCTTAACATGAAGTTGCCACTGACCTTGACGAGGGCGGTTTCTGAAGCTCTGAGGGGAAGTGTGGTGGTGAGGGTACAGGGGCTGGGCTGGGCTGGAGGACTTCCATAAATTACATTCTGGGGAAAACCCTGCAGGAAATTGTCCCATCTTGGCCCACTCTGGGTTGCCCTTACCTTCCCAGAGGCCCTCTTTATCTCATAAGGACAGAGGGGCTCTGAGGGCCTGGCCTTGCCACCTGCACAAACTTCCTCCTTTCTGGCTCTGCTGGACTTTTGGTTCCTTGTACCAGGCCCTGTGTGGCTGGGACTGGATCATTCTAACCTTTGTCTTCAGTGTCAGGGTAACCCTGGCAAAGGCCTAGGGGAAGCAGATGCTTCTAGAAGAAACTGAGAATAAACAGACACCAGCTTGTTCCTCACCAGCCATCTGCAAACCCCAGTGTGGGCACTGCCCTCAGCCCCACTGCTGCGCTCCATGTGTTGGTAAAGCTCTCTAACCTGAGAGACTGGACATTCTATGGCAACCGCTGATTATGGATGGGAAAATCAGAGAAGCATCTTTTCAAAGAAAAGTAGAATTTCTCATATTTTCTTCCTGCTTCTTCATTGATTGCAAGGCACCCCACTGCTCTAGCAACACAGATTCCAAGGGTGTTTTTCATTCTGGTTATGAAGGGATCCTCTGGTGGAAAACTATGAGGCCATGAAAAAGGAGGGCACGCTTTTGTGCCAGAGTGACAGATGCTCTGGATGGAGCAGATCCGGGTGAATATGAGAACATATATTCATGTGATGCTCTTGGGGAGAAGCCAGACACAAAAGGCCACACTGGGTGTGAGTCTGAAATTCTTAAATTACAGCATTTATATTTTTTTCCAACCAATAAATGTGATCACCAACATAGAACTCTTTCAGGAGTTAATTTGCTTTAATAATCTTTTCAGACTATTTCCCATATTTTTCTTTAAATTTGTTTCCTTTTTTAATTAAAAAAGTAACATAATTGTCATAAGCTGTGTAACCTTAGCTAGATTACTTAACCTCTCTGAGCCTCAGTTTCCTCCTCTGTAAAATGGGAATAATGAAACCCACCTCTGAAGTATGTTGTAAGGGTCTGGTGAAGATTCCATGGAAAGCTCTTAGACCAATCCTTGGCCTGAAGGAAATGCTCTCAAAGTATTTATGGTTGTTAGCTGTCTTATATAAAATAAATCAGAGTAGAGTGGGAGTTGGGTGGGGGCAATTTAAAACAATTTTTAAGTGCTCAAAGATTTCATTGAGAAAGTGACATTTGGGCAGTGTCCTGCAGGCGTTAGGGAGCTTAGAGTTAAGGAGGTGTCTGGGGGAGGGTGAGAGCACAGCCTGTGCAAAGGCCCCGGGGCAGGATCAGGTGTGGTGTGTCAGAGGACCAGTGAGGAGACCCATGTGGCAGCAGAGTGATCGCAAGTGTTGTCTCTGGGAAGAGCTAGGTGGCTGGGCACAGGGGGGGAAGGCCAGTTAACCCCAACTGCTCTTTGGTACTTTTAGTTTGAATTTTGAACCATAAGAATGTATTTCTTGTTCAAAAAAGGATATTAAATACACACCTGTCGATTGTGCATTTGCATGCAGTGCCACGTTGCTGGGAGGAGGGAAAATGGGGGGCACAGTGAGCAGATGCCGTCACCTACCTCTTGTCTTGGCAGACGGGGGGCATCCAGAACACGCTAGAAACGTAGATTTGCAAGATCCAAACATTGTGTCCCTCCTTCTGCCCTGGCTGAGCTGCACCTGTTCACTTGCTGTGTGCCTCTAGGCAAGGCACTGCCCTCTCTGTGCCCAGGGAATATTTGCAAAACATCCAACCAGCTCACAAGACATTACGCGCAGGGACACACATATTGACCTTGGGAAATCTGCTAGCTATTCACATTTTACAACTTTTAAAGAAGGGGGAATTTTTCTAATTTTTCTCCCTATTTTTCTTGAAGGTTGTTCCTCCTAGAGGGGTCAAGGGACTTTCCCTGGCCACACGCTTGCCCATGTGGCCACGTGAGGTGGGCTGGCCTCCTAGACGGTGGTGGTCACCAGGGGGTGCTGGAGCAGCAGGAATTGTGACTAAGTCCCTAACTGGGGGATTGCGGCCCCCTCCCCCAAGTTGCTCCATCTCCCTGCCTGATATCCCCTCTAGGCCTGTGCCCGCTTCTAGGAAAATTTTCCTAGTCCATAGCTCATTCCAATTTACACCTCAGTTTAGCTACTCTTTCCAGAAGCTTAATCCCTCTAGGCTGCTCAGGGGTCCCCCTTGGGCTACTTTTCCCATATCACAGACCTGACCACCCAAAACTGTTTTTGTCTCCATCATTGAGCCAGGAGCCCTGAACGGATGGGACAGAGTTGTCCTGGGGTGTGGGGCTAACCATTCGGCCATCACTGCACCCACTGGGCTGCATGCAGTAGGAGCTTTGTAAATGCGGCTGAGTAAATGGTTAGGCGAGTCCATGTCCTTCCTACTCACTGACCAGGGAACTCCACGAAGGCAGGCAAGAGGTCTGTGCCCCTGGCACCTAGCACAGGCGTGCACGCAGCAGGCGCTCAGAAACTGTTCACCAAAGGGGTTCAATTACTGAGCGTTTATTATGTGCCCTGTCCTGTGCTGGGATTTGAAAACACCCAAGTGACCCAGACAGCTCCACCCAGAGCTCTCAGGGCAGGCAGGGTGTGGTGGGAAGCCATCAAGAAAGCAAAATGAGCAAGAATATAACTAAAAAAATTGAGGCAATAAATTATCAGCGAAGAGCAGAGCTGTCTTTACCCCTAGTGCACGTACCCCAGTGTCCGAGATAGTCCTGGCAGCGTGGGTGCCTTCAGATGGCAGAAGGTCACTTCTCCGTGACTGCCTAGGTATTTGGACAACACCTCAATGCTCAGAGACCGTTTCCACATCCACACCCCACACACCCCATCCTGGAATCTAACTTGCAGCAGTCTACCAGACTTCACCTCAGCAGGGGGGTGGGGGCGGGGAGGCGGACGGAGCTGAGCCCTGATAGCAACTAAGTCAGGGACTAAAAGAGCAAAGGGTGCAAGCAACCTGGCTGCCCTGGGTGACTCACGCCACGTCCGCCCTTCACAGTCATGGAGTAAAATGGAGTAAAGAGTAAACAGACTCAAGCCCAGCCGGGGGCTTGAGCATCCAGGCTCAGTTTGCTCAAATTCTCCCTCCATGGACTTCCCTGGTGGCACAAGGACTTAAGTCTCAGCGTTATGAAGCTGTCCACAGCCACTGTGGCATGAGTTTGATCCCGGGCCAGGGGAGCTGACCCACTTGGCGCAGCAGACCTCTCCTGTCTCCCTGCTGCTCCCCTCAGCAGTGGATTTCAGTTGATCTGCTTGTTCTGCTCCCCACTGTGAGTCCTCTCAGCACCACCCTCCCCCATACCTCCGGCCTGCACCTCAGTTCTTGTATGCATAAATAAAAATAAATCTTAAAAAAATTCTTCCTCCATTTCCTCTTTGCTTCCAAAGACACACAGATGGGAAGTGAGGCGATTATAACAGGAGAAACTGAGCTTCATAGTGGTGAGACTTAACCCCTTGTGCCATCAGGGAGGCCCCAGTTTCTCCTATTATAATCACCTCACTTCCCATCTGTGTGTCTTTGGAAGTAAGAATTCACCTCTTTGGGTCTCAGTTTTTCCCATCTGTAAAATGGACCCAACAATGGCAGCACCTACCTGGGGGGTCATTTTTGAGGATTAAAATGTTTTAATAAAGCTTTCAGAATTGATCAATGGTGACAGTTCAGCAAATGTCAGTTCTTTCATTCTCAGAAGATCTGCAGTCCCAAGGAAGAGGATTCCCCTCCAGGCGGGGCGCACCTGAAAGGGCACGTGCTCACTCCCTGGGGTGCTATGCACGTGACGCTGATGGTCTGAAACCTGGCATCATAAACCCAGATCGACCTAGATCAAGAACCCGGATTAGAAAGCAGAGCCTGCAGAGTGAAGACGCTTGCCTAGCTTTGGTGGGGCATCAAGGTAAACGCCCTCCATCCCTCCTCAAAAAAAAAGAGCAACAGCAGAAACTGCTAATGTCCCCCAATATCCTCCTCTCTCCCTGGTTAGAAATAGGACTTTTAACAAGGCCCAAGGCCCATTAAAAGATTACATTTACCATATTGCTTTGTGGTTGGAGAGGTCCTGTGACCAGTTCTGGCCAATGAGATAAGAACAAAAGTGCACAACTTCCAGCTCACACCACTCAAGGGAGAAGCAACCTTCTTCCTTCTGGTTTCTTTTTTTGGAGGAGGGAAGAGATGCAGCTGGGTGGTAGGGGGGGTGGCAACATAGCCATGTTTTTGTCGCTACAACTCACGGAGGTCTCCCAGAGGACAGTGGCCCTGGAGCAGCAGTCAATAAATATTTATTATAATTAAAATACCCAGCCCCTCCCCCAACACCACCATCCAGGCCACCTTTGCCTGCCACCTCTGGTGCCCCGGCACCAGAGAGAGAATCTGTCAATGCCATGTCCAATTCTGGCCACTCCAAAGCCAGAAGGTCCTAGAAGCCCATCTTGCACGACTTCCTAAGAGATGAAGGTCTCCCAAGCAATGTCCTGAGAGTGGCAGAAGACCCCATGCCCCACCAGCTGTCCCGCCCTGGAGATGGGGTGTTCTCCAAGGCCCGAGGCCGGCGCCAAGGTCATCAGCCCCAGACTCGGTCATTCTGCCTCCTGAATGTTGTCTTCAGGCACCGGGGTCGCTCTCTGGTTCCACATGTGGTTGTTGAGTCCCAGCTGCACCATGTGGGCATGGTGGATGATCAGAGGCTGCTGCCCAGGGCTCTGAGGGGGCACAGGCGAGGGCTGCGGAAAGGTGGGGGGCTCCTGGAAGGCTGGCGGCGGGGGGATGCCAGTTGGCCAGGAAGGCATGTGTGGTGGCTGCAGGTTGGGCCAGGTGGGAAAAGGTGGCGGGCCTCCCAGGGGCACCTGAGCCCCAGAAGCAGCCTGAGCCCCAAAGGGCATGAAATTGGCAAAGGTGGCCTGGAACTGCTCCATCTGTGCCCACAGGGCGCGCTGGCTCTGCATGTAGGAGGAGTAGGCGGAGCTCAGGTTGCCCACACGCAGCCGCTCCTGCTCCAGGCGCTGCTGCTGCTCCCTCAGGGCCCGGGTGTCCTGCTCCTTCCTCCAGAGGTCCCGGCGGAGCTGCAGCTTCTGAGACTTGAAGGTGTTGGCGACCTTCCTGCCGAAGACTGGAGAGCTCTCATCCAGCCACACCATGCTGTTGAGCAGGCTGGAGGTTTCGGGGCTCAGCTGGTCCTGGGAGGTCTCCTCGGGCAGGAAGGGGATCACGCTGTCCTGCCAGTCGTGCCGCCTGAGGCTGCTCATCACCGACTGGTTCACCTGGTACAGGCTCAGGCGGCAGTCGAAGTTGGGGGTGAGCAGCAGGATGGTGAAGGCCGAGTGGTCGAGGGCATCCTGCAGGCAGTGCAGCTCGCCGCGCCCCGGCACCTGGAACTCCTCGCAGAAAGTGGCCCCGTCCGACACCCCGAGACCCTCCAGCTTCTCCTTCACGCGCAGAGCCACGTGCTCGTCGGCCCGGGCATGCAGGACCACAAAGTTATAGAATTTCTGTTCCGGCAACTCCACCTTGGAAGGTGGAGGGCAGGGCCTCGAGGATCCTGGGTGAGCTGAAGAAGGGGCTGACGGGGAAGGGCAGGGAGGGGATGTTTGGGGGGCCAAGGGAGCAGATGGGCAGGGCTGGGCCGTGGGGGGAGTAGTGTCTTCTTCAGGAAGCTGGAGTGGTGTCTGGTCCGTGACAGACCTAGCGCTTCTGGGGGGTGAGGGGAGAGATTTGGGGGCCACAGGTACTTCTGTGCACTCCACAGAGTAGTGGGGACTCCTTTCTGGAGCTTCTGAGGGATAGGGCAGGCCCACAAGGCTGGCATCTGGGGGCACCTCAGGAAGCCTGGGGGGTGGGCTGTCTGGCGGTGCCTGGGGGCTGGCAGGCTCCACTGTTGGGGGCCAGCTCATCTCCTCGGGTTGCTGGCAGGCAGGCTCGGGCACCGATCTGGGCTGGGGCTGCACACACAGCTTGCTGGGCCCAGGGTTGCTGAGGGGCAGGCTGAGGAAGGGCATGGTGGGTGACTGGCTAATTTCCAAGTCACTAACCACGGAGGCGGGGCTGTCTGTGGACTTCAGGGAGCCCCCTCTGCTCCACCCTGACAGGTTCTCAATGGGCTGCGGAAGGCTGCGGGTTCTGGAGGGTGATGCTGAGGATGGTGGAAGGCACCCCAGATCAGAATGGAGGGGCTGGAAGCCCCCCGGGTCCCTGATGATGTCCCATCCGCAACGGTCCCGGGCCTCCTCCTGGAGATCCCCCAGTCGGTGGTCTTCCCTGGAGCTGAAGACACGGAGGGCTGCCCGGTAGGCCAGGTCCCGTGTGGCGGCCGGGCACAACTTCTCCTCCGCGAGCAGGTGGCACACCTGAGCAATGGCCCAGGACATATCCCAGGGCTCCTCTGAGGCCTCGACACTGTCCACACCAGCCCACTGGCGGGCTACAAACTGGGCCACCGAGTCCATCTTCAGTGCATCCAGGGAGATCCTGGCCTCCGTCTCCTGCCCCAGTTTCAGCAGCACCATGGCATGCAGAAGGCCCACCCTCGGGCAGCCCGGGCGCAGGGTCTTCAGCTTGTGCTTAAGATGCATGAGTTTGCCCTCGCCTGCTGCCTCCAGAATGCCAAAGGCATCCGAGAGCGATGGTTCCTTGCTGGCCATGGGCACCAGTGGGCGTGGCCTGCAGAGGCAGAAGTGCTGGGTGGTGGAGGCATATTCCACACTGCCCCCCTTCCTGGCACCTGGTGTCCCCTACCTGCTCACCACACCAGGTGTCTTGGGGGCAACCAGAGCAGACCTGTGAAGCAGGAGAGACAAGTTACCACAAGAAAGAGACAGCTCTGGGAGGTGGCCTGGCCTTCCCTCCACTCCCCGCCTTCCTGCCTGCCTTCAAGTGTCATAACCTATCAGGGTGATCTTGGGCGAAATGTGTCACCTCACAATCTGTTTCTCCCATCGCCAAAGCATAGTCACCCAAGAGGTAGGCACGACCACCGTTCACGTTGAACAACACTGGTTTGAACTGTGTGGATCCACTTCTACGTGGATTTTCTCATAAACAGACTAGTGAACTCATGCTGTCAACACATACAGCACTCTACTGCAAATACAGTTTTCCTTCCTCAGGATTTTCTTTCTTTTTTTTTTAAGATTTATTTATTTATGCATACAAGAGCTGGGGTACAGTCCAGAGGTGCAGGGGGTGAGAGGATTCACCAGAGACAGAGTGGGGAACAGAACAGGCGGATCCACTGAAATACACTGCTGAGGGGAGCAGCAGGCAAGACAGGAGAGGTCTGCTGCGCCATGTGGGTTGCTCCCTGGATGGCCGGGGGATGGAACTTATGCTGCAGTAACTGTGGACAGCTTCATAGGTTGCGTGTTAACCCCTTGTGCCACCAGGGAGGCCCTCCTCATGGTTTTCTGAAGAACATTTTCTTTTCTCTAGCTTACTTTATTGTAAAGCCCAGTCCATAGCACATACAAAATGTGTTCACTGACATTTTTGGTGAGGCTTCTGGTTACCAGCGGGCTATTATTGGTGGTCAAGTTTTTGTGGCGTCAATAGTCACACACCAATTTTCTCCAATATCACCATTCCTAACCCCATGGCGTTCGGGGGTGAATGGCATTTCCCCATTTACACACCACAAAAGGGAGCCGGAGAGATGAAATCGCTTACCCAGAGGTGCACAGCCGGTGCGTGACAGAGCTAGGACTTGAACCAAGAAGTCGGGCCCCAGCGGCTCTCTGCCTAAACACGAGAATACACGGCCCGCCAGGGTAATGAGAAGCCCACTTACAGGATTATTTCCGTAAATCGAGTTGCATTGACCTATGGAAAGTTGGCAGCCCTGTGACTAGACGTCCCTGGGGTCCTCATCCCTTCCTAGGGAGGTCGTCGGTCCCCTAGATGGTCTCCAATGACCCCCACCTCCTGGCGTTCACAGTCTTGGGTAACCCTTTCGCTGTAGTGCCAGCATTTATGTGATTGACAGCACAAGGCAGCAATGGCTGGAGTCACTGATGACTTCGGGTGGTAAGAGACACGGGCTGTCCTCGCGGTAACTCTGCCACGCTGTGCTGGGAGCAGCCTTCCTGGCAGCTCGTGCGGCAGGGAATGGAGCCCTCCACCAGCAAGCGCACAGGGAACGGCGAGGGGGCCCAGGTGGCTGCGGGGTGAGCGAGAGCAGAGAGGAGGTGGTGGAGGCTGGGAGGGGACAGTGCAGGTCCTGGGGGCCTCAAGGACAGTGGGGAGAACCTGGGCTTCTACCCTAAGAGAGGACTGGCTTGCAAAACTAGAACACTCTTGTCCTGTCTAAAGGTGTGCAGTAGGGGGCCTCCCTGGTGGCACAAGGGGTTCAGTCTTAGCACTATGAAGCTATCTGCAGCACGAATTTGATCCCCGGCCAGGGAGCTGACCCACATGGCGTTGCAGACCTCTCCTGTCTCCCCGCTGCTCCCCTCAGCAGTGTGTTGTTTCAGTGGATCCGCCTGTTCTGTTCCCCACTGTCTCTGGTGAATCCTCTCACTCCCTGCACCGCTGTATGCATAAATAAATAGAGCTTTAAAATAAATAAATAAATACGTGCAGTAGCCAAGACTCAAAGGTGGGAACTTCTGTATCTTAAATGAGCTTTCTCTTAGCTACAAAAAGAGATTAAAAAAAAAAAAAAGATGATCTTATATTCAGGTGTGACCACAAATCCCAATTCTTTGAAATTATCAAGATAATGACCTGAAATAGGGTCCAGCATCCCCCTCGACGGCACTGGCCTGGAAACGAATGTTCCTTCCTCCTCCTGATGGCTCCTGGGAACAGCTGGGTATGGAACTTAAAAAGAAAAAACAGACATGTGTTGGCGTGTGCCCCCCAACTTTGCTGCTGTTTCTTTTCATTATAATTACATTTATTTTCTTACATCGTTGTTCGTTTTGGGACAGTGTTTGATTTCTCAGGGGCTGTCCCTGTAGTTCTCCTACCACCCACCACGGCACCCATCACCACAGTCCCTTGTGCTCTTCCCACCCCTGCTCTGACCCCTCCCTGCCCTGCTGTTTGCCTCAGATCTGCAGCCAGCCTGTGAGGCTGGTCTTTTTCCTGACTCTTGTTTGGTTTCTCTATATTCCTCCCATAGGGAAAACCATCTGATAGTTATCTTTTTCCTTCTGACTTATTTACTTTGCACGATCCCTTCCAGCTCCATCCATGTGGCTGCAATGGCAGGAGTTTATCCTTTTTGATTGCTGAGTAGTATTCCATTGTGCATATACCACATCTTCTTGATCCAGCCATCTATTTTTGGGCATTTGGGTTGTTTCCACATCTTAGCTATTATAAACAGTGCTACAATAAACACAAGGGTGCAGGTTTCCTTTCAAATTAGTGTTTTTGGTGTTCTTTGGGTAGATTCCTAGGAGTGGAATCGCTGGACCATAAGGCAGATCCATTTTTAGTGTTCTGAGAAACCTGCACACAGCTCTCCATAGTGGTTGGACCAGTTTGCACTCCCACCAGCAAAGCAGGAGAGTTCCTTTTTCTCCACATCCTCACCAACATTTGTTGTTGCCAGTTTTTTTGTTTGTTTGTTTTGCTTTGTTTTGTTTTGTGGGGCCCTCCCTGTTGGCCAGGGAACTAACCGGTGCTGCAGAGGCTGCAGGCAGCCTCGCAGACCAGCTCTCAACCACTGCACCACCAGGGGAGGCCCTGTTGCCAGTTTTTTTAATATGGGCCCTTCTCACTGGTGTAAGGTGGTATCTCGTTTTGATTTGCATTTCCCTGATAAGTGGTGTTGAGCATTTCTTCATAAGCCTGCTGTCCATTTGCATTTCCTCTTTGGAGAAGTGTCTTTTTAGCTCGTCTGCCCATTTTCTAACTGACTTGTTTGCTTTGTTGTTGCTGAGTCCTATGAGCTCTGTTTAGATCTTTTCAAATCAGTCCCTTATCACCTGTATGGAGTGCAGGTTTCTTCCTCCCAACCCGTAGGGAGTCTTTGTTTTGGTTATTGTCTCTCTTGCTGTATAGAAGCTTTTTAGTTTGATGTCGCCCCAGCTGTTTATCTTTTCCTTCTCTTTCTTTGCTTCTGGAGATGAGTCCTCAAAGATGTTTCTGAGTTGTATGTCATGGAGTGTTTTGCCTATGTTTTTGTCTATGTATTTTATGGCTTCAGTCTTACATTCAGATCTTTTAGCCATTTTGAGTTGTTTTTGTGTCTGGTGTGAGATGGCAATCTGGTTTCATTCTTCTGCAGGTGGCAGTCCAGTTTTCTCAGTTTTCTTTACTGAAGAGGCTTTCCTTGCTCCAGCGTATGTTCTTTGCCCCTTCGTCACAGATTCGTTGACCACTGCCCTCCAATTCTGAGTGGACAAAGGGCACAGCTGATAAAATGTGAAGGGAAGGGCCTGGAACGGGGCGTGAGTGGGCTAGACGTCACGTCGTTTCAGGCTGTGTTCACTCTTAAATTTCATCAAGTTCAATATTTGGGCCTTGGGTCCTCTTCAGAATTCAGGTTAGATGGCAATAAAATACTAAAAGGGAAAAATGTTCGCCAACTCCCAGGCTATCCAACTGGCAGCAACGTGAGAAGCAAATGGTTTTTGAATTAGTTGCCAATACTGAACAAAAGAGATTCTGTGTAAAACCCCAGTGTTCTGGATTCTCTCGGAATTCAGACAGCCACTGACAAAACAGTGTGGCCTGCTGCTGTCCCAGAGCCAAAGCCGCCCCCTGCACTGTGCCCACCCCGGAAAGTTGCCTCCAGGGCAAGCGAGAGCGGCTGGTGGGAACACGGCCTTGGGGTTCAACTTGCTCTTCCACTGAAGGCCGTGACCTTGACCAGGCCTGTGGCCATCAGCAAGGAAGGCAGCCAGGACAGCGATCCCAAGGCTGCGCCACAGAGCATGCCATGGGTGGTCGAGGCAGTGGCTGGACATCCCGGCTGTGTCCTGATGTGCTGACACTCGCACAATGCAGAGTCGCCCGATGGCGTGTTTCTCAGAACATGTCACTAAGCAACACGCTACTGTATCTAAATAACACTCCTGTCCACCTCCCCACTCAGAGACCCGCACTTTGACTCCGTGACTGCGCCAGCCTTGCCCCCTCCCCAGATGCCAGGCCTCTGTGCGTCCGAGTCCACTCATAGCCCCTCCTAGCTACACCCCAACTCTGGGGAACCTGCCTTTCTCTCTGCTCCACGTTCCCTGGCCTCCAGGACAAAGTCCACCCTGAAGGGTAGGAGTCTGGTGGCACAAAAGCACCCACAGCAGTGTGGACCCCTACTTTGCCCCCTTGCCGGTGGGTGGGACTCGCTTCTCCGGCTGTTTCCTCACTGTAAAGCCAGCGTGGAGGTGGCAGTGGACACGAACGTGAGTCTGTCCCCAAGATTCGCGATGAAAGTTGAATGAAGAGCTTAGGACAGTGGCCGGAGCAGGCAGGGGCTCAGGATTATACTATAATAAAGCATGAGACTACATACTCGGCCTCCCCCGTGGTGCAGCGGTTGAGCGCTGGGTTGCGAAGCTGCCCGCAGCTTCTGCAGCACCGGTTCCATCCCTGGCTGCTCCCCGGCCACCGGAGGAGGGTCCCACATGGCGCGCAGACCTCTCCTGCCGCCCGCTGCTCCCCTCAGCAGTGTACTTCGGTCCTTCTGCCTGCTCTGCTCCCCGCTCTGGCTCTGGTGAATTCTCTCACCCTCCCGCGCTTCTGACTGTACCCAGTGCTTGTATAAATAAATAAATAAACAAATCTTTAAAAAAAAAAAAAAAAGACTACACACTGGCAGGGTTTATGTTTTCTCTCCCTGATCTCTTCTTTTTAACCATCGCTGGAACACGCCCTTTCTCTTCTCCCCGACTCAGTCCCTCCTATACTCTCGGACGGCCTCTTCCCATAAATATCTACTGAACACCTGTACGAGCTCGAGCTGCTCCAGGCGCTGCCTCAGACTCGATGGGCAGGTTCCTGCCCCCAGGGAGCGCACAGCCTACTGGGGGGAGACCCGTACTCAGTGAGAAATCCGCCCACTGTGGAGAATGAGATGTGCCGGGAAGACAACGCGGTCGCGGGACAGTGGGCATCTGGAGAAAAGCCTGCGGGTCCAGGGAGGCCTCTGAAGGAGACATCTGAGCTGAGACCTGAAGGAGGTAGGGTAGCAGCTCAGGTGAGACTTGGGGCAAGTGCCTCCGGGCAGAAGGCACAGCCCTCCGGGGGCAGGATGGCAGCTGGTGTGGTGGGCGGACAGGAAGGAGGCCCTGGGGGCTGAAGTGGAGCCCCGGGGAACACTGGGCTTTTACCCCAGAAAGACCGTGGGCAGGAGGGGTGGGGCTGATTCAGGTGCCCTCGGGTGGCTCCTGTGGGGATGACAGACTGGGAGGGGGTGCGGGGGCTGGAGGGGATCATTCATTGGCTCATGGGAGTAATGATGATGGTCTCCAGGAAGGAGGGGAGTGGCTGGATTTGTGGATAATTTAAGACAGAAGAAGAGCAAAAGGAGGCAAGGAGAAGGCCTGGACTTCAGGCCTGAATGTTGGAGGGGAGAGGAAGGAACAGGCTTGGGATCAGAAGGCAACAATCAAGCATTTGCAGGCATGACTCATTCAATACAGTTCACCCTAGAGGCCCCCATGACATGCATGACCTCACCTCCAGCCACCCGTTCCTCAAACACACCAGGCCTGCCTCAGAGCCTTTACACTGGCTGCTACCTTAGCCTGGGACACCTCTCCCCAGATTCCTTATGCCCGTTCACTCCCCAGTTTTGGGTCTCAAATGCCATCTCTCCATCAAGGTTGACCTTAGCAGCCTGTTTAAAATTACAGCCCACTCCCACACACTCTTACTTTATTTTCCCCCTTTCAACTTTTCCCATTTGACACTATCAATTTTACTTATTTACTTTGATGAATATCCATTGCTTCCCAAGGGAGTGAACCCCATTGTTCACAGCTGAGTGTCCAGGGACTGGTACATAGTAGCTGCATAATAAATACTAGTTGAATAAATCAGGGGCCTCCCTGGTGGCACAAGGGGTTAAGCCTCAGCACTATGAAGCAGCCTCAGCCACTGCAGCACGAGTGGAGATCCCCGGCCAGGATGCTGCCCACATGGTGCAGCAGACCTCTCCTGTCTCCCCACTGCTCCCCTCAGCAGTGTATTTCAGTGGATCTGCCTGTTCTGCTCCCCACTCTGTCTCTGGTGAATCCTTTCACCCCCACACCTC